TCTCCCTTTCTCTTCTTCCCACATATCCATGTCACACAGATCTAGCGTCGATTAATTATAAATGCATCGGCCATCCACTCACACCGCATAAAGAGGCACACAACGACACCATCCACAAATCGACAGATCCATCCATCCATCCATCCATGCGTGTGTGCATTTTTGTGGGTATACAGAGGGACGGCAAGGGACAACTGTAGCTGGCGTGTGTGTCCATCTATTCATTCATCCACCCATCCACCCCCCTTGTTCGCATTTCTGTCACCGCCCTTTGTCTGCTGATACTCTGGAGTTGCCAGACACGGATTGAGATGCACAGAGGGAGAGAGAGGGGAGGGTTTAACACACGCAGCAAAACCATAAGGCACGATACAGACAGAAGACAAAAGAGTCTCTCTCTCTCTCACCCCACCCACATAGATACAGACAGGCCAGCAGGTGAAAGCCATGTCTGTCTACATATGGCAAAGAGCGACGTACAGGCAGACAGATACGGGAAGTGACAGAGAGGCACGGAAGAAGACACACAAATATCGGTGTATGCGTATCGTCATCGGACAAACGGATGGCTCACAGCAAAAGTGCTGATCGGTGGTGTGGCCGCATGAGAACCACTGATGTGTGTCAGTGTGTCTATCGCCCCTCCTTCTCTCTCTTTCTTGTGTGCATCTCGGGAGCCGCCCGGCAATCGAAGAGCGACAGACACAGTCACATGCTGAAACTCTGAGATTGCAATCAGGCCGCGGCGGCGCCCATAAAGGGAGAGGGGAAGCCACGCACAGGGAAGACAAGGGAAGTGCGCAAACCTGATAGAGAGGCACCAAACAAAACTCTTGCACATCCACACATCCGAACGGACAGATCGGTGTGTATGTGTGTGGCTGTTGGCCTGTCTGTCTGTCTGTCTGTGAGCCGTCCGTGTGTGACGGGTGCACCGACGAGAGATCAACACACTCTCGCGCTCATCCGTCAACCACAAGCACGTCACAGACAGACGGCCACCGCCGCCCCACACAGCAATTCCTTTGTGCAGCAAGCCAGCCAATCATCCCTCTCTGTCTGTCTGTCTGTCATCTCCCCCTCGCCCCGCACTCACCAGCCGACACACTAATGGCAGCAAACGGCTGACGAGTCGAGAGCGGGCAACGGATGGCACGTCGGATGACAACGGCAGCCAGACCGACCCACCGCAAAGCCCCACAGTACAATACACTCTCATAAACACGACAGCCGTCACTTTATCGATGCCGTCCACACGGGAAAGCGACAGTCATTTCACTCACATCAGCTCGTCGACTCCTGGCGAAAGGACCCACATCCACTGCCTCATTTGATGTGATGGGTAAGCAGTCCTGTGTGTGTCCATTCATCCCCCGCCCGCCCCTGTGTGCGCATCTCTGTCACCGCCCGGCAACCCTGAAGCACCAACGCCCTTCAAAGCCTGATGCTTTCGCGTTGCCGGCCATGATCGGAGATGCCAACAAAGGGAGGACACACACGCGAAGACTCTCTCTCTCACTCTCTCTCTCTCTCTCTCGCTCAGGCAGATCAACGTGTGTGTGTGTGTCGGGCTGTCTGTCTGTGAGCCGGCCGTGTGTGATGGATGCACCGACGAGAGATCAACACACTCTCACGAGCAGACGTCCCACACGGCGAACGCACAGACAGACGACCACCGCCGCCCCACACAGCGATTCCTTTCTGCAGCCAGTCAGCCAATCATCCCTCTCTGTCTGTCTGTCTGTCATCTCTCCCCCGCCCCCCACTCACCAGCCGACACACTAATGGCAGCAGACGGCTGAGGAGTGGAAGGTGGGCGAACTATGACAACGGCAGCCAGACCGACCGACACGCAAAGCCCCACAATACAATACACTTTCATAAACATGACAGTCGCCAGTCCATCGATGCCGTCCACGCGGCAGAGAGATAGACAGTCAGTGCACTCACATCAGCTCGTTGACTTATCGGCCGATCTTACAGCGGCAGCCGCTCGGCCGTCGTGTCGCTTCTTCCAGCGAGTGAATCAGCACACCATTCACACCTGACACACACACACACACAGACACACAGACGTCATCTGCCTCCCCTCTCCGTCCGTCTGTGTGTCCCTCCCTCTCTGTGTGTGTGTCGGTGTACCATTGCTCGCAGACACCAAAGTCCCATCATCAGGCCGCCGCACACCGCCGCATAATGAGCTCTCGTGTTGCCCTGCTGTCGTCCGTCAGTCGACGACCGACACCCACACGCAAAACGGCGACAAGAGAGAGAGAGAGAGAGAGAGAGAGAGGGAGGGAGATGTCAGCTAAGGCCAGGCAGTCAGGTATTGGGAAGGAGTCGGCGTATCGGCCGATCTTTCCACTCAGACAGACAGACACACATGACTCACAGCCCAGTGAACCATGAGTGACACACCAACAGGCAGACGGGCAGTCAAACAGACAGGTCTCTCTCTCTCTGCGTGTGTGTGTCCATTCCCTCGCCCGTTCCCCTCTGTGTGCATCTCCGTGACCGCCCGGCAACCCTAAAGCACCAACACCCTTCATGGCCTGACGCTCTAGCGCTGCGAGACAGTACAACAGATGCCCACAGAGGGGGAGGACACACACGATACAAGACAACACAGAAGGCACCAAAGCCTCAATCTGTTCGGTGTCCAGCGCCACCACACTCTCTCTCCATCCCACTCACACACACGACGCAGCCAGGCTCACCAAAGAAGAACCCGACAAACCTCTCTCTCTCACTCTCTCTCCTTCCCACTTAACTTGTCGCCCATCCAGTGTCCATTCACCAGTACGCCAGGCACCCACACCCAACAGAAACACCCACACCCCACGTCAGCACTAAACCACACGCAATCGACACGTAAGAGCAGACAGTGCACACATCGTTCCATCTTAACATGGCACCCACACGTTCTTCTCATCCACTCGGGTATACACTGCAGTACTGCACACACATCGATGTGGGGAGGTTCGTCTCACTGTCAGTGTGCTCACTGCTCACATCATCATCGCACTTCATTGGCGAGTGTCTGTCCATTTCCCTCTGTGGGCATCTCTGTCGCCGCCCGGCAACCCCAAAGCACCAACACCTGACGTGGGCTGATGCTCTAGAGTCACCGAGTGACAGACTAGATGCCCACAAAGGGACGGAGAGGGGACGACACACTCGTGCCAGACACAGCACAGCTGGCAAAAACAGAAAATACGCAGACGAAGAGAAAGACAGATGCGTGTGTGTACTGTCTGTCTGTCTGTCTGTCTGTGAGCCGCCCGTGTGTGACGGATGCACCGACGAGAGATCAACACACTCTCGCCGACACACGTCCAAAACGGACAACTTAAAGACAGACGGCAGCCCAAACACCGCCCCACACAGCGATTTTCTGTGCAGCCAATCAGCCAATCGTCCCCTTCTCTCTCTGTCTCTTTGTTTGTCTGTCTGTCTGTTCTCCTGTGATGGCTGTCTGTCGTGCATCGGCCGACACACTGAGGAGTGTAAGCAAGAGAAGCTTGACGATGCACAGACCGACACACTTGAATGAAAGCACACTGACAAAGCGACTAACACACGACAGCCAGCCCCTCTCACACACATATAGCAGCCAGCACTATGAGTCACAGTTGTGCCTTTGCCTTTCCTCTGTGTGCCTGCCCAGTGTGGTGTCAGTCTGTCTGCCAGACACCACACGGCCACCGCACACAGAGAGTGATGATCAACACTCACTCTGTGAGGTCTCCGCATGAAGTCTGACAGCCAGCACCGAACCAAATCACTCTGTCTGTCCATCAGTTTTGCCATCTCTCTCTCTTCCATCACACACCCGGTAGAAAGCCCCACGTGATGTGACAATGCACCTTCCTCCAGCCAGACTGACTGACAAGCTCACATACAAACCACGGCAGCCATCCCCTCACTCAGGACGGCACAACAAAGACCCCCCCGCGGCACACAGAGGGCGGCCAGCCCACGAGAGACACAAAGCGATTCAGTTAAGTCGAGTGAGTCAGTCGTCGACACATCGGCCGACACACACACACACACACACACACGCACGCACAGACGAGCAGCACTTCGCGGCCATCGTCAGTCGTCAAACCCGCCAGCCAACCACACCTGCACGCCACACAAACCACACAGAAGACAGACAGACAGACAGTCGGCTGATTCTCTCCTGTCGTGTGTCACATCCATCCCATCTGTGTGTGTGTGTCTGTCTGTCTGTCTGTCTGTCTGTCTGCGCACCGCTGCGGTGTTCGTTCGAGTGCAGTCGCCGGTAACCTCGGCGCCCTCAGCTGCAGCACTGTCTGTCTGTCTGTCGACAGACAGACAGACAGACAGACAGACATCTGCAGCACACCACACAGAGCAGAACGGCCTGTGTGACATCATGGCGATGCTCGAGGGTTTGTCCCTCACTCACTCACTGACCTGACTGACTCGCCACGTGTGTGTGTGCGTCTGTGTCGCCGACCTCAGCTGACAATTAAGGCAAAGTGGGCGCCAAAGGACGACAGATCTCAGCACACAGCCGTCAGGAGGGCTGCGCACCGAACGAACCGAAAGAGCCAGAGGGTTTGACTGACGAGGGGTCAAAGGGTTTGATACCCTAGAGCCCCACGCCCGAGAGGCAAAGTGCGGAGTTTGTGCGGCTTGTCGGACAGCTGTGCGTTGCGAGAGTGAGGCACTCGGCCGACAAGAGGGCGAGAAGAGTCCCTGGAGTCAGTCAGTCGTCCTTCCGACTGCTGCCGTGCGGTGGCGGGGCGTTGAGCTGACAGACATCAGAGGTGAGGGAGTCCCGAGCACTCACTGACTCACTGACTCACTGATGCGCTCATCCACTCACTGACCTCAATGAATGCGTTGGCCTTTCTGTCTGTCTGTCTGTCTGTCTGTGTGCCTCTCTCTCTGTGTGTCTGTCTGTCTGTTTGTGTGCCTCTCTCTCTGTGTGTCTGTCTGTCGGCACGTCTGTCGGCCCATCGGTGCAGTGTGGCTGAGGAGCGACGAGGGCCTCCTCATCTGCCGCTGGTGCTGATGGTGGTTGTGTTAGCTCATTGACCTCTCTCTGATCTGTCCATCTGAGCATCGAACGAGGTGAGCAGCACACAGATCTGTGTGAGCAGCATGCTTGATGGACATAATCCTCGGTCTGTCGGCTCTGTCGCTCTGTGCAGCCTGTCGTCGACCACTGCCTCACTCATCTGACCGTCTTGGCCCATCCATCCCATGCAGCACCACGAGCAGCAGCAGCACCCCGTGTCATACCTGTGTGTGGGCCGGAGGAGCCGCTACCTCCTCAGCGTCAAGGACGTCGTGCGGCTGAGGGCCACCTGCACCTGGCTCAAACAGCTCTTCGGAGAAGCGCAGCTGAGAGATCGGCTCAGCCACTCGCTGGGCTCACAGGCGGGGCTGCGGCGGGCGAATGTGAATGGGCAGCAAGTGCAGCTGCTGCGGTTCGACGACGACCAGTTCGGCACACATGATCTGCTGGCGGCTGTGTGTGTGGTTGAGGAGGGGGACTGGGGTGAGATGGCCGAAGTGATTGAGCTGGGGGGGCAGTGCGGCAACTGAGCTGCCTGTGACCCTCAGTGGGGCTGACATCAACACACACGCAAACAAAACGGTGAGCCGGCAAACAGCCGGGAGGGGAGGGAGAGAGAGGGCCTCATTCTCTCTGTGTGTCTGTCTGTGTGTGGTTGTGTGCGTAGGCGTATGTGTCGGCTCCCCGTGTGATGGCGCAGCTCAAGATGGTCGGCCCCCACGTTCACTTCAGTGACGGCACCTGCCTCCAGCTGTTCCACCACGGCAACGGTGAGGTGCGGGCCATCAAGGACGACCCCAACTTCTACGTGCAGGTCGACCCCCCCCTCCCTGCCGGCCACCTGTACCTGCGTCACAGACAGCCACACGACCCACCGGTGCGCAGCCGCATCGGCTACTCGCTCAACCACAGCCGATGGGTGTCGATGGGCGAACAGTTCACCGATGCGTCTGTGTCGTCGTTCGCCAAGGACAAGATCCTCAACCACTTCAGGAATACCCATCAGAGCAATGACAGATTCACTCTACTCGAGAGGTTCCACACCAATGACAGCAATGGGGCGGCAGGGTCAGAGCATAAGTCATTTGGTTGTGTCTGTCTGTTCAGGACTGTCGGTGGCCATCTGAATGGCCTCCTCACCCAATCGCCTCACACACCGGTGGCCGGCTGCACGACTACAATGGGCCGGGGCGATGGTGGCTGGCAATGGCTGGTTCTCACCGACAGCAGCCATCCCTTCGTCGCATGGGTTGAGATTCGGACATTTGGAAACTACGGTCAGCGTGACCGAGAGGCAGTGCTGCTGGTCAAATGTCATCTGGTCCAACGTTGTCTGCAGTTTATGTGTGGATTCTGACGACTGAGGCGGCTGTGTGTGGGAATGGTCCCTTCAAGCACCGCTTCCCATTGACCACTGAGCTGGCTCGCGTGGCGTTGAGGGCGGTGGGGCCGTTCGTATTCAACGGACAAGCTCCACAGCAACAGCAGCAGCAACAGCAGCAGCAACAGCAGCAGCAACAGCAGCAGCAACAGCAGCAGCAGCAGCTCATCAACAGCAGGGCATGCTTGATGCTGTTTCTGCTGGGGTGTGTGGTAGTGCTGCTGATAGTGCTCATGTGGAGCCCACCACTCGCACCCAAGATTGGCAGTGGACAAAGTGGCGGGGCGGGGGCGGGGCTGGGCGCAATAGACGAGCTGTGATTGATGTGGCTGGGTGGACCAGCTGCTGGTGCTGTGTGACCGAATGGCTGGCTTGGCTCTGATGGCTGTGGGTATGGGTGTGAGTGCGTCTATCGTGCGGTCCGATTCGCTGCCGGCCGATTTTGATGTGACGCTCCGGCCGATCTGTGAGTGTGTTTGGCTGCCTAGCTGACTCACCTGCCCGCCATATCTCTCTCTCGTGGTGACTGTGTGGTGGAGTGTGTCTGCATGTGGGTGTGTGTGTCTCGCGGGTGACGGCCGTGGAGTGTCTGAGTTGACCTAGTGAATTGGTCACACTCACAAATGGCCCGGCCCCTCCCGCCACACAGACAGACAGAGATGCTGCCGACACCATTGATCAGACAGACCACTTGACGCTGCGTGCGCGCAATTACATAAGGCGTCCCATTGGAGCCCCACTCGTCAATGACAACGCTCTTCTCTGTTGACATGGCCGTCTGAGCGTCTGTGTCTGTGGTCGTGTGTGTGTGCACTGCCAACAGACAGAAAATTCCAGCAGCCGGGGGAGCAAAGGCCAACCGGGTCAAGCAGACAGCATCGTTGAGCTGCTCTGTGTGTCTGTCCTTTCTTTGTTCCACTGTCTTCACGGCATGCCCATTTCTGAGATTAATTAAGACGACTGCAACTATTTTGACATCCCTCATTCTACCGCCTATCGGCCCAGACGAAGACAGGTTGGTTTCATGGGATCCAATCGGTGAAGACACTTGACCGTACGTCCCTTTGTGTCATCACTTACATAGATGTACACACACATATACAAATACACTGACAGACGCACACATATGATAAAACCTCATCCACGCTCAATCAGAAGAAAGACATCGATACATGCCGAGGGCAGAAGGCTCGTTGCCCTCTCCGTCCGTCAGTCTCTCTGTCCATCACACGCGCATGTGGATATTAGCGTGTGCACGTCCTTGTTTGCCATAAATGTGCACCCAGTCAATAGCCGACTACTTACGTCCCTTCCCCACTCTTCCCCTCTCCCTCTTGCCGCTTTTCGTCAACCCCCTGACCATCTCTCTCGGTGTGTCGGCTCTCTCGGTCGGCCCACATGACAGGCCGCTCCATCAGCGGCCCGCCTGCGTGTGGCATGATGAACGGCTGCTCACTCGCGTACTCGCCTGACAGATGCGCCAGCCCCGGCATGGGCAGACAGAGCAAAGGCAGAGGGACGGGCGACTCATCATCGCTGTTGCTGTTGATGTCAGAAGCACCACCACCAGCAGCAGCAGCGGCAGCGGCGGAAGAGGACGAAGCAGCAGCAGGTGGGCGGGGTGGTGTGTTGTGGTTGTCGGGCAGAAAGGGATTGCGGGAGAACAGACTCATAGATGGCGCTGCCTGCTGCTGCTGAGGGGGCTTATTGCTGGTGTTGTTGGTGCTGTCCTCAGCAGCAGCCCTCCCCGCAGAGGCAGATGCCGACGAGAGAGAAAGGCCGGAGAGGGACATGCCTCCGGATGACGACATGAAGTGCTCCATCGGCAAGGGCGGCACGTGCGGCCCGACTTCCTCACTCTCCCACTCTGCACACACACACACACACACACATCCATTCATCCATCCGTGTGTGTGTGTGTGTGTGCGTGTGTGGAGGGAGAGTGGGAGGGGTGTTTGCCTGGTATGGGCGAGGGCGGCTCTGCTGGCTCTGGATCGCCCTGTGATATGACAGACGATGACGCCCTCTCTGATGGACGGACACACATCACATCACATGCCCATCCATCCATCCATCCATCCATCACCCAAGCTCCACTCAGCGATGTGAGAGTGTGGTTCCCACCAGCAGCAGCAGCGGCCACAGCAGATGGGATGAATGGGGGTGTCCTTGGATCAAGCCTGCTCGGTGATGCACCAAGACCACCATCCTGCACACACACACCAGACACCCGCTCATGTCTGTCTGCACTTCCCTTGTGTGATGACGTATACGGGTGGCGGCGGCGGTGGCGGTGGTGGTGGTGGCGGCTGCAAGATGTTGATGCGATGGGGAGGGTGGCTGACAGCGAATGGCAGAGGGGTCGCTGGCCTGTGTTGCTGTTGGTCCGCATCCATTGCCATCGGCTGCTGCTGTGAAAAGGGCGATGCTGCTGGGCTTCCGTCAATCAAGGGAATGGGAGAGGGAGTGGGCAGCAGACCGCCGCCCCCACCTACACCAAGACATCCATCCACCCTTGTGCACCCATCACCCAGTCCGTATGTGTGTTGCGTCATTGCGTACGGAAGAATCCCCTAAAGCCAGCCATGATGCCGTTGTTGAACCAAGGATGCAGCTGATTGCTGTTGAGAGGGGGACCAGGCTCAGCAGCAGCAGCAGGGGGGAAAGGCTCCGGCAAGGGCTCCGGCAAGGGCTCCGGCTGCAGCTGCTGGTGGGGTGGGTACGGCTGTGGCTGTGGAATGGATCCGCGGTGGACAGGCAGTGGCTGAGATAACACACACATCCGTCCATCCATCCATCCATCCATTTGTCCGTCACATCTGTCCATGTACGTCTCTCTCCTTTGCTGCCTCTGTGTCTGTGTGTCACCCACCGACCTGTGCATTTGGTGTTGGTGGGTTGTGCTGTCTCTGCAGCAGCCGCACCAGCGGGGGCCTCTCAGGCCTCTCCGCCGGCCGGTTGAGCAGCTGCGGCACTCTGTCACCCAGCGGCGCAGCCCCAGGCGCAGCAGCAGGAGGCGGTGGCGGAGCTCGCGGGGCGGGGGCAGGGAACATGGGCAGCAAATCTATATTCACACACACACAGCCATCCATCAAGCCCTTCATGTGTGTGTGCGCACATGTGTCCCCTCTCACCCGCCCCGCCCACCCACCGTGTATTCGTTGGTTGAGCCTTCCTCCTCCCTCCCGCAGCTCGCCGCTTCCCGCCCGTCGCATCTCGTTGATCAAACGGTCGCCCAGCGGACCCAACCGCTGACCCCGCAACAGAATGCGGATGCCTGGACACACACACACACACACACACACGTGTCCCATGTGTACCCACCCACACACTGATCGTACTGTACCTGGTTCGCCCGACTCTCCGTTTTGTTCGCTTGGCGGTATTTTGGGCGGCTTGGGCAGATTGACGCAGCTGTACTCATAGGGCCCTTTCGGAAAGTGATCGTAATGCTGCAGACAGACAGACACGTATGCACACATGTACGTACATGTGCACCGGTCGGTGTGTTGTCCGCGTGTGTCTTTTCTGTGTGGCCTTCCTTCCTCTCTCCCATGCATACCTACCTCTTTGCGTGTGAGTTGCGATCCACAGATGTAGCAGAAATGGATCCCCTGACCACGGCACCTGGGCGACTGCACACACACACACACACACACGCACAGAGCAACATGGACAATTGGCGTGCAGTGCATCTGTGGGTATGGCCATGGCGTCTTTACGCGTACGCAGCAAGTCAGGAAGTTGCACCCGAGGACCTGCATGATGACAGAAAGCATTCAATCTCTCTGTCTGTCGCCCCAAACTGTGTGCTGTAAGGACCTACCTTCTCGCACATCGCCTTGCACTTGGGACACGGCTGACGAAGGACACCGTCCACACAATCAATGGCACACGGATGTGTGTGTGTGTGTGTGTCGTGCCCACCTTCCAGCCCTTTTCCTCCCCGAGTGACTTGAGCTGCTTCTCTCCCTCAGTCGATGCCGCAGCCTGCTCGCACGTCAGCGGGTCATGCGCCTGTACATGTACATGTCGCCACACAGATCGACCGACCCTCTGTGTGTGCAGGTAGGTGTGTTCTGTCCGCGTGTGTGTACCAAGTTGGAGCAGTGAGGGCAGAATTCGATCAGACACACGGGACACTTGGCCTGCACACCATCACACGCAGAACGGACGAACATCAATGCTTCTCTGTTTGTTGTCTTCTGTAGGTCGGTGGGTACTCGTTTCATGTCTTTGGGGACGAGGAAGGTGCCGCAGTTCGGTGTGGGACAGCTGGCCATGATCTCCTGGCCCTCGGGCTGGTACTGACGCGCACTGACCACACACACAGACATACACACCTCCACATCGATGTGAGGGCCACATGTGCCAAGCAACTCACGCACCGGTAGTCGAGGAATTTCTGTTTGAGCTCGTCTGACAGGGCGCCCTGGATCTGCTCATTCGTCAGCGGCATCCCGCAGTTCTCGTACGGGCACTTCAGGTCGCTCTCTGCACATCACACATGGTGGATGGATGGATGGCTGGATGGATGGATAGATGGCTGGATGGATGCGTGTGTTCGTGTGTTTGTGTGTGTGTGTGTGGGAGGGAGGGCTTACGTGAGACTTTGGCTTCCTTGACCAGCGACGACACATACTGACAAAAACAATGACTGCACACACACAGCACAGCACCACACCACACCGACAAGTATGTGTCCATCCATGTGTCTGTGTGTCGATGTGTGTGTGTGTGTGTGGATCTCTCTCCTCTCAACAGACCCACCCACAGACCCGCATATGCGATGTCCGCAGTCGATTTGGATGGAGCCGTCGACGCGTTTGTCCTCCAGACACACGGGGCAGTGGAACGAACCCTCCAGATACGGCGACGCACCGTCGGTCGACCCTTGATACGCCACGGGAGGCTCACCTGCACACACACAGAGGAAGCGAGAGAGATCTGTTTGCCCAAGTGCAGCGATTGTCGATGATTTGTGGCGCCTCCGTACTTTGTGCGATCTGTTGGAGCAGCTGTTGGGTCAGCTCGGCCTCCTTTGCTGACCAGCTCTCGGTGCCAATGCAATACCTGACCACACACAGACCAGACAACAGGTGAGCACATGTGTCTATCCATCCATGTGTGTGTCTGTATGTGGCCCATCTCATGTGTGTGTGGTTCTACTTCTGCTGGTAAACAGTGAGCGGGACGTGTGGGCACTCCGGACAAGACACCTGATGGCTGTCGAACCCATCGACAATCAAACACATCCATGAGAGTGCGTGTGTCGTGTGTGCACGTGTGTGTGACATGGGTGGGTGTCCATTCCCACTTGACGAAGTCTCCGTTAGGCGCTTGTGTCTCGATCCACTCAGACAGACAGGGCAGACAGTAGAAGTGAACCTGAAAGAAGGGAAGAAGATCATTGATTGATTGAGTGACGCAGAAAGAAAGAAGGCACGCGTGTGTGTCAACGTATGTGTGTATGGGTACGTTGCAGTCCGGATTGACGAGCTGCTCGCGAGCGAACTGACGCCGACACAGCTGATGGGAGGGAGGGAGGGAGGGAGGAATGGACACACCAACCAACCACACCAACCACACCAACAACCACACCAGCATACATCCTTCTGTCTGTCTGTCTGTCTGTCTGAGTGTCATATGCAGGCGTATCGTACCCCGCAGGCTTTGCTGCCGCCCTTGATGGTGTGTCGGGTGTGCTTGGGCACAGAAGACGATGATGCCGATGCCGACGAAGGCGATGCCGAGGAGCCGCTGGAGTGCCGACCACCATGAGTGCTGCAAACACACATGGGCAATACCATGAATGGATGTTTGAGGAGCGAGGAGCTCCCGGCCACACACATGAATGAGTGTGTGACACACACAGCCGCTCACACTTGTGTGTGTGTGCAGTCTCTCCTACTCTATGATGGTGATCAACCGCAGCTGACGGTATGGGAAATAAGATCCGCTGCCTGGCAGTTTGACTCGCCTGACCTCGCCCTCGCGCATCTCCACCAACGCCTCATCCAGCCAGTCAGTCAGATCAGACACACGCCGCTCCACCCCAACGGCCTCGTTTGTTTTGTCCCAGCCGTCGAAGTCATCACGCCACCCAATCCACGACAACTTGACGCGGTCGTTGAGCGAGGGCACTCTGCCGGTGCCCTCCCGCACCACCTCATACCGGTTGCCAGATGGCGATGTGCCGCTCCGACGGCCGACAGTGCTGCACACACGCATGGGCAATACCATGAATGGATGTTTGAGCGTGTCTGTCATGTGTATGTGTGTGTGTGTGGGGGGGGGGGGGGGGGGGGGGGGGGTTACCATT